GTTTGAAAAATTGTGACAGTGCCAAGATCAGGGAGAAACCAGGGCCCACTCCCCTTAACCCTGGAATCCCCAAACCTCAATGGGCCATGATCAATACCGCTCCCTCTCCTGGAGACCCCTCAAAACCAAAGGCAGTCTGGATTTCAGCCCTGCCATTTTCTCTGAAAAGTAGGAGGTGTCAATCAAGCAGCTGTTTGTCTGGCTGTTTAGCAAGAGCTGTCACTACACAGCTGAGTCTGTCCCAGGCACTCCACTACTGCTCCAGGAGAAACTTAACTTGGCCACACTGGCTTCAAACAAGGACCTATCCCAGATGAATCTGCCATACAGCATTGCAGGTGACTCCACCCTACAGCCTCCAGATGACCCCACCCTCATCTGAGACTACTCCAAATAGGTCTACAAAATAAGGAAACTGCATGTATGGGCTTCAACTTTTCTACATAAGCACCATTTCCTCACACTCTGAGTCAGTCGAGCCTTCTCATACACTTCCAGTTCACAACCCACTGTGCTACAACATGACTCCAACAAAGCCTCACACAGGTGATCCTATTGCCTACTCATAATTCTTACCTGGGATAAAGTGAGCTGAGCTAGTTAGCTGGCCATGATGGTGAAGGCCTGGATTCCCAGCACTTTGGGAGGCTAGGGCAGGAAGACTACAAGTTTGTGTCCCACCTGGAGAACTTAGCAAGACCTTGTAACAAAGTTTAAAAAGAACTAAGGATGTAGCTCTCTGTGAATGCCTTGGGTTCAAACTCCAGCACCTTCCACCAAAAAGAAGCTGGTAAAACTAGGGGCTATTATCCCTGAAGAACTCTAAAGTGGCAGAGCAGGAAAGAGCCAAGAGTAGCAGAGCCACTAAAAACCAGTGGAGAGAGGCAGGGACCAGCAGTAACTGGCACTGACTTTGGTGACCTATGGAGAACCCCAGAGGGGCAGTGGAAGCTGCTGGAAGAGCTCCAAATAGCAGCCAAGGGGCTATGAGGGCTGATGCAGCCAAGGGGCTACTGAAGGGCTGACGCAGGGGCTAGAAGCCACCAAGAACTGTCACACTAAGAGTTGTAACACTAAGAGCTAAGGGACTGGCACACAAAGCAGGACTGTAATACTAAGGTAAGAGCTGGTAGCTACTGACACTCAAAGCCTAACATAATGGAAGCTGCACTTTGCCAATCTGTGATGTCTATTCAAATTGAGCAAGAGAACCCTTAACAAACTGGTGATGATATCAAGCAACAGCTTCATAAAACCTCATTAATATACGATGAATGTCAGTATCAGGACTAATCATAAATGTTATAAGGGGTTTCCTATGAAAATCTGTCAGTAATGAGGATATAGGACATTAGTAAATGGTTCCTAACATAAACTTGTAGAGCTAGAAAGATGCCTATGAAATACCATTATTTCTGTCTCAAGACTGTGGACTGAAAACATTTCTTTTTCCTTCCAATTCTACCCCCATTTAATGATAATGAAAAAACAGATAAAAATCCAAAACAATAGAAGAATGTAGAGGAAGGAGAGAAAGCAGCAGTCAGTTGAAATTTCAACAAATTTTTGGAAGACAGAATGCAGACAAAAATGTAAGATTTGGCAAGACAAGACAAAGAAAGTTTTGTCTGCAATAGTGAAAAAGAGGTTACTGAGGAGAAAACTATGAACAGAGTGATTAACTAAAAGCTCCTCAGGGAACAGTGTTTATACCAAGGGCCCAAAAATGACATGCTAACAAGTATGTACCTAGAGGAAACAAATATAGAAGAGTCACACACACACATGCACACACACGCACATACGCACACACACACAGGTACACACACAGAACAATTTGGAAAACATTTTAACTCCAAAATAAGACACCAGGGGTCCCTCATACTAACAGCTGGCCCACCCTCCACATACACTCCAAAACTGCTGCTCACCTATTTAGCAGCTCTAATCAGTATTTCATTGACTGTCTGAAATATATATGGGTGCCTTTTATTTGAGGAAAACCTATAGAATAATAGAGGGGGCAGGAGATGATAAAAATACACACTCTGGGGAAAATTAATTCAACTAACAAAAGAAAACTTTTAAACATCTCTAAATATTATGCTTTGAAAGAATTTAAAACTTATTACATTCATAAAATAAGAACAAGATACTATGAAAGAGGAACAGAGAGCAAGAAAGAGCTCTTAGATAATAAGAAATCTTAAGTAGTAAGATATGACCATAGTAATAAAAAATGATCAGTGGGGTTAGCAAATTATTTGAGACTGGGGTCCAGCAAGATAAGTACATGGCCTGTTTCCTAAGAAATAATTTCATAAGACATAGAATCCACAATATATAAATTCTACAAAGCAAGGTAAAATCCCAGAAAATAATAAAGGCAAATCCCATGGTGGTCACTATGCAGGGACAGGACCATGGAGCAATCATTCAAGCAATTTATTAACAAAGCACTGAAGATAACTATAGATTTAGGAACAGACAATAAGCTATCAATCTTGAAAAGGCAAAAGGAAAATAATAGAAGACAAAAGTAAGAAGATGAAAAGAAGACTGGAAAGAAAGGCAGGGGCTGACATCTTCATTCTGAAAAGTGAGAAGCCAAAAGATACTATCTGTGGTTCTTGGGAAACCAAATAGCATGAGCATTTATCATTATTACGCAGGTTGTTCTTCTTTTTTTTGGTACCGGGGATCGAACTCGGGTCCTTGGGCAGGCGGCGGAACTACTGAGCTAAATCCCCGGCCCCACACAGGTTATTTTTTAGCTAATAATAAATGCTAACTATGTACTAGGCACTTACTAAGAATTTTCAGGGGCTATTCATTTAACTGTGTAATACAATTGTTAAAGTGATCCTTGAAGAAAACAAAGTACAAATATTTGATCTGGGGATATAGCTCAGTGGCAGAGCACTTCCCTAGCATGTGTGAGACCTCGGTTAGATCCCCTGCACCACAAGCAAAAGTAAAGGTAAAACTTTTTAAGTTACAAGACAGGAACCAATGATGATCATGTAATTTAAGAGGAAGAGAGAAATGAGGGGTATAGGGAACACAGGTTGATTCTTTATATTTTGGGACAAGAAATAAAAAGATAATCATCTCTAAAACTGGTAAGTCAAGAAACAAGCAAAAGTATACTATCTAGAGAATGGAGATCATCCCCAGAAGAACTAAACTGAAACAATTTTTTTAGAATTACAAGTGATTTCCTCAGGAAACAGGACCAGAGAGGGACACAGGGGACAGAAGACTACCAATCTCATACATAAAGTAAGTTCAGTATTATTTCCATTTTTAGCCACTAAGTGATTTACTTTGATCGTTTATTTTAAATTTAGTTATGAATTTCTTGTCAAAAACATAGCTATCTAATCTATCTGACTCCTCAGGCAGGGGAAATTTTGTACTTTAATGGTTTCCAAAGATTGCTCTAATAATGCAAGCTTAACAAAGTCAGCATCTCCTAAAATACACAATTCACAGTCCAAAAACCAGTTTACCGGGCTGGGGATGTGGCTCAGTGGCACAGCACCTGCCTAGAAAGCATGAGGCCATGAGTTCGATTCCTGGGAGCATAAAAGAAGAAAATACCCAACCCACAGTTTACCAACCTGTGCCATCATTAATAGCTAAGTTCTTTATTCGTCTTTTTAAGAGTAAGAAGATTTCAATGCCCTGTTCACCACAAGAACAAAAGAGAAAATTCTTGGTAAAATTACTAACAAACCTGTCACTTGCACAGTAGGCCAGAGCTTCAGGAATGACCACAGTGGCAGAAACGGGTTGAGTCAACCTAGATAGATGCTGTAGAAGGTGGCCTAAATTCAGCAATTGATCTTATACACTGTTCAGCCAAGGTTACAGACCCCATAGTCCAGGAGCTCAAGCCGGCCCTCATGCACATTCAGGTTAGCATAATGCTCACTTCCATTATGCTTTGGGATTTTTGTTTTGCTTTGTGGTACTATGGATTAAACTCAGGGCCTTTGCACAGGCTATAAGTCCTTTTTTATTATTTTGACAAATGCTTTTGCTAAGTCACTAAATTGTCACTAAGAGGTTCAAACTTGTGATCCTCCTGCTTCAGTCTCCCAGAGTACTGACATTACAGGCATGCCCCATCATGATTTTAATTTTGAAAAAGCAGCATTCATATAAAAATTCTAAGTGCCACCTTCTGAGTCAGAAGAGGCAGTCTCCCCAGGGACAGTGGGTCCTACTTCACCACATTTAGTCTGCCTCCCTACTTTATGTCATCAGCCTGGCCTTGTAGGTCATCTGCATTTCTGACCCTTGCTGCAGAAGAGATTGCATGTTGATAATACACCTCACCAATGCCAAGAGTCTGTGAAGAAGGACCCTTACTATCAGGTGGCAATCAGGAGGCAACTGCGAATGCATCAGTCACACTGATTCCTAGCAGCAGAAGTTCTAGAAGGCGGTTAGCAGCAGTAGACAGAAGCTATTCCTACCTAAAAATTATTTCTAAATAAGTATTTTAAATCAATGGTTCTCTTTACTGGAGTATTACATTAGAGCCACCTATGCAGAAAAAAATATATGTAAGAATTGTGCGTGTCTAAAAATCAAGAATTTCTTTCTTTTTTGGGGGGGGGGGGTAAGAGTTGAGACAGGATCTCACTATGTAGTTCAGGCTGGCACTGAACTCACTATGTAGCCCAGGCTGACCTTGAACTCACAGTGATCCTTCTGCCTCAGCTTCCCAAGTGCTAGGATTATAGGCATGCACCACCCACACCTGGCTTTTTAAAAATAAGAATTTTTACACAGGCCTATTTGACTGCAACTTATTCCCTGCCAACTGCTTTACTTTTAATAGAACTAGGACTGAATGAAGAAAAGTAGTAAATACTACTGATCAGTATCAGAAGATAACACATAACAGACAGAAATAAAAACTAAACCACAAGGTCCAATAATTAATACTGTAACCTATATTTTAGATAAAATTGTCATCATATACTTACATTTTAATGTTTCTCCAGCATATGGTATGTGCAGTTTGAATCGGTCACAGTTAGGTCCAGGAGTCAATGAAGTACAGCTTTATGAAGGAAGAGAAGATATTTTAAAAACAAATTTTAAAAGCCTACATACTTATAATATTTAGTAAAATCAGTAAAAAGTGATCCATAAAGGTAAAAGATTAAAACATTGGCCTACAGAACAAAAATCAAAGCAAAAAAGCCTTTATGGTCTGGGAGGCCAAGATAGTAAGCCTTGCCTTAAAACCAATCATCCATTTATCTCACAGTACAACTTATATCTTCTAACAACAAACACCATCGATGCGTCAAATACTCCTCTCAAAGAAGTGCATCTCAACTTTTAAAACTATGTGTATTATCCAAAATGGGTCTCTAGTCTTTGATGCCAAGAACTATAAGAGAAAAGTAATTTTATGGTCATATTTTAAACATAGACTTTTAGCTTTCACCGTTAGTACAGAAAAGCACCCACTTTTGGCCTTTTGCTGGTGCCAGATGGTTTTCTTACTTTCCACCCAGGTACACGCTTCCTCTAGATTTGGCACACTGTAACTTTCATCTGCAGGAGAGCATGATGCGCTGCACTCGATTTCAGATAAGATGCAAATTTTCCGGGGGTTTGAGTTAGTCACCCAAGTCTCAACATCTTGCTTTTTTTTTTTTATCTATTACTTCACAAAGTTCTACAAAGTTCTTTCTTCCTTATTCATATTTACTCTGTAATATATCTCACGATCTTACAAGGCAGAATTTCAACTACATAACAGCAGTATTGGCCTCATATGTTAATAAAATACTAATATGAAACCAACTGAGGAGGTTAGATGCCTTCATTTCATTTTTTAAAAGTAAGATAACTTATAAAGTAAAGCAAGGAGACTAATTTTCTTTCATAATTCTAAAACTAACCCTGAAGCAATTCTAAAAATTGAACTTACAAAACCAGTTTAATGGATAGAGCAGTTGGAATAAATGTACAACTTCCTTAGATGGCCACTTTGAAGAGTAAAAGTCAATTGAAAATAAATTCAAGAAATGTTGGCTTGGCTTTAAAGAAAGTAGCTCAGTCTTCACACCAGATTTACTATTACTTCTTCACAAAACTATTTGAATGTAGGAGAGAGAGAAAAAAAACCCTTTAACTCAGATGTATTTAACATAATTCACTAGATTAATTATTCCTCTTTATCATCAGTAACTAAAAAAGAAAATACCAGTTTAAAAAGTAAACAACAAGAGAAATGCAAATTAGAACAATAGTGAGATACCATCTTATTCCAGAAAGAATGTCTACTGTCAAAAAATCCAATAACAAATGCTGGCAAGGCTGCAGGGGAAAAAAGGAACCTTCCACATTGTTGGTAAGAATGTAAAGTAGTACAACCACTATGGAGATAAGAATGGAGATGCCTCAAAAAACTAAAAATAAAAATTCCACTTGACCCAGCTATCCCTGACTTCTAGGAATCTTCCCAAAAGTTAAAGTCATCCTTATTACAGTGACATATGCATATCCATGTCTATAGCAGCACAATTTACAAAAGCTAAATCTTGGAAATAGCCTACATGTATATCCATCAACAGATGAATAAATAAAGAAAATGTGATAGTTTTACACAGTGAAGGACTACTCCGCCTTAAAGAAGGATAAACTTGAGGCAGTTGTAGTTAAATGGATGCACCTCAAGACCACAATGTTAAGTGAAATAAATCAAACACAGAAGTTTAAATATCACATAGCTTCTCTTATATAAGAAACTCAAAATATAAAGAGCAAAATAAAGGACAGGAAATAGGAAGTATGAGATCATTTTCAAATGGGAAGGAGAAGGAGATAGAAGGGAGGAGGGAAGGAAGGGAAAAAGAATTTTTTTTTAAAGAATGGAAGAAAAATGGAAATGAAGCTTTTTCAAATGGGAAGGAAATGAAGAGGTGGAGGGAGAAGAAAGGGATGGGAGGAGAAAGAGACAAAAAAGAATTAAGATGTGTTATGCACAAACTCCTCACAATAAATGTAATCATTATATATTGCAAATATGTACTAATTTAAAAAATAATAATTGAAAAATTAAAATGAGGAAACTGAGACAAGAAAATTAAACAACAAAGTTGTGCTAGCAATTGAACAGTAACCCATTTTCATTTTTCACAGATTTTAAGAACATATTTCCTTTCAATATAAAATAACCTTCAGGGTACATTTTATAAACGGTACCAAAATATTTCCCTTCTACAAGTTGGGTGTCTGATATTCAAAATGCTGAGGGTCTTCTGATTTCAGATTTTTTCATACTTTGGAGTATTTGCACATATATAATGAGATCTCAGAATGGGACCAAAATCTAAACATAAAATGCATTTATGTTTCACATATAGCTTCTACACCATGGCCTGAAGGTAATTTTATACAGTATTTTTAGTGCACCTACATTTTGACTTCAACCCTGACATGAGGTCAGGAGTGGAATTTTCCATTTGTGGCATCAGATGGCACTCAAAAAGTTTTGCACGTTGAGGCATTTTGGCTCTTGGGTTTTCAGATTAGGGATGTTCAATCCATAGTATAAATTTTTCTAGCTCACAACACAGTAGTTACCTAAAGAATTAGGGAAAGCACATAAATTCTAGCATTATTAAAGATAATCTAGTGATAGTAAAGACTACAACAGGCCGGTGATATAGCTCAGTGGTACCGCGCCTGCCTCGCAAGCGCAAGGTCTGAGTTCGATCTCTGGTACCGCAGGAAAAAAAAAAAAGACTCTACAAAACACTAAGAATATCCAAACTGCAATGCTTTAAAATGATGAAAAAGATTCACAACCCAGAGTCTTTGAAGCTTGAGGATCAAATTATCTATACAGCAAAAATGGAAATTAGTAATAGTATAGGAAATCCTCAGGATTCAACGTGAAATTGTTTTGTTTCTGAATGGTTATATCCACTATTGTGCCACACTTCATATTATTTACTTTATATTTTACCAGGAATAGAAGAGTATTTTTGTGCCCTACTACTTTACCTTCCTCCCTTAACATATCAACAACTGGTTCCCGCAACCTCAGGCTGTTACAAAGTACATTTCTACATCTGAGTGATTCACTTATTGTTGATGGCGTGGGGAGGGGGTGTCTGTTTTTCACTTAACTAAGATTTATTGAGTACTGTTCTAGGTATTAGGAATACAGTGGATAAGAAATACAAGATCTACAGTCTCATGGTTATTTCAATTCTAATGAAGGAAGAAGAAATAATAAATGGGACAAATATATAAAGATGCTTTTAGATTACTAAATGTTATGAAGAAAATAAGACCGGGTGCTACAACAGGAGCCACCTTATACTGGAAAATCAAGGAAGACCTGTGGAGAAGGGCAAATCCCAAACTTGAAGAACAAGAAGGGGCCTATCATTCAAAGTTCTGGCAAACAGCATTGCAGAGGAAAGAGCAGGTGCAAAGGCATGAAAGCAGAAACATTCCTGATGTATCTGGGGAAATCTTCACAAATCCAAGCAATGACTCTGGGGCAGAGTGAATGAGGAAGGAGTAACAGACAGGGACAAGGGGTAAGCAAATAGATCATGCAGAGTCTTGCAAGTGGTGGCATTTAATTCAGCTTTCGTGCCAAGCACAAAGAAAGGTTTTAAGCAAAAGAGTAACATTATCTAATTCTATGTTTTTAAAAAGATCACTGTGTCTACAATACAGCAAAAGAGACTATAAGAAATAAAGTAATTAGACCTTCTTTATATTGTGATGTTACAAAACTTCACATTTCCTTTGTGCATGTGCATGTGCATGTGCATGTGCATGTGCATGCGCAGTGCTGGGGACGAAACCCGGCACCTCATACATCCTAAGCAAGCCCTAGGGTACTGAACTACACCATCCCAACCCACAGTTTCACATTTCTGACATTCATTATTTCTCACAGTTTCTTTGGGTCAAAATTTGGTTAAGGTTCTAGATGGTCTCCCATGAAACTGCAGTCAGAAATCAGTGACAGATAACTAACAGCAGGGAAATCCATTCATCTAGAAAATTGTTTCCTTGCACAAGTATGAAACAGTTACTAAAGAAAAAAAATGACCGGCTTCATTAACTTTATATTTGTATAAAGGCAAACTATCTTCACAGATAGTTACAAGATTTAAAAAACCAATATTCCAAACAGAGTAACTCTTAACAAAATAACTGCTGACAGTTAAAATGTAACTTCAAATTTGTCCCTTAACTATAGTTCCTCAGTGCTTACTCACATGTGTCAGGCACTGTGCTAAGAGGTGGAAATATAAGCCTGGTGTAGTGGCACATGCCTGTAATCCCAGCAGTCTAGGAGGCAAGGTCAGGAGGATCATAACTTTATGACTTAATGAGGTCCTACGTCAAAATAAAAGGAAAAATGGACTGGGGATACAGCTTGGTGCAAAGGCCCTTGGTTGGAGAGAGAGAGAGAGAGAGAGAGAGAGAGAGAGAGAGAGAAAGAGAGAGAGAGTTGATATTACAGTGTAAAAAGATTTTAAAGAACTATGCTGTATAGTATGCCTTTTCCCAATTTCAACTTACCACAATATACTAAGAATGCACTATTTTAAAGCTTAACATTTGGGAAAACCGAGGAAATTGAACTCACATTCTATAGATTATGCAAGTAGGAATTACCAGGTAGGAATTCTTGATAAGATCAAAGGAGGTAGTTTACTCTAGTACCTTATTACAGAAATTGCAGTTAAACATTAATAAAATGCTAAGCATAATAACCTTTGCATACTCTCATCCCTACAGTCTCTTATTTTACCTTTAATCATAGAAGTCTTAGTATTATTATTTTCAAATTGTAGTTGTTTAAGAATCTTGGTGCCAATAACGTTTACACTTTTTTAAATATAGCACAATATAGCACCCAGCAGAGCACTAAGCACTCAACACTGACAAAATTTTACCATATTTTAATAATCACCAACTAAACTCAAAATTGCCATTGTGCAGTTGATGTCTCAGAAGCCCTGAGGATCTCATGGGCACTCAGTAAGAGCACTGGGACTGGAAACTAATTCC